ATTTATTATATAATATTTAGATAATATTATTATAGTTTTTAATAGACTAAAATTAAATTTTATACAAATTAAATAAAAATTTTAATTTGTAAAAATTTATAGTTTTATAGTTAACACATGCATTATGCCTTTATCTGATACCAAACAAATATTATTATGTTTGGGGTGTTGGTCGGGTTGAGCTAGGCAGCCCTAAAAGTTGTTAATACACTAGCAAAATCTGGCTCGATATCTTTTATATATATTGATGGTGTGCAATCTAAAAGCTCCTAGCTGGAGAGTAGCTCAAACATTGATGCTTATCTAGCCAGTCGACCTGCAAGAGAAATGACCAAAGAACCTAGGGTGGCTAACCCAACGAGGTAACTCTGATGCTTAAGTTAGTACTCTTGTAATGATTGCGAGCTAGAAATCAGAAAGTATAAGAGCTAGAATGCACTTAATTGCGTGTACCTTGTGTCACTGAGGTAGATACCGTTATATAGGCGTTGTTTGGCATGGGCGTCACACATCGTGTCCAAGGTCTTTGGGAAGACGTGCCTAACCAGCCTGATGTCCTTGTAGGTAGTTGTGCACGTAAACCAGTCTCCATGCCTTGTTTGGTTTCCTTCGGAACATTCGGTACGGGGACCAACTTCTGAGAAACCCAGGAGTGTCAAGATATGCATGTCAAATTGGTCGGTGAACACATCACGCAGGTCACCACCTGGACCTCAATTAGGTCAGCAAGCCCTCAAGGGAGGTCGCTCCTCATCGAGGTCACTTTGACTATACTAACGAGGTGCCACAAATCAGTCCCTAGATGAGGTGCTACAAGACGCTCAGAGTTGTGGACGAGGTCATCAGCTAGGTTTTCACCAAGTCGGTGGTGGTGGCAAGTCACCATGTCGGATTCCGTCTCTTTGTCTAAGGAAAGTCATCGCCTACGTGGTGTTGAGGTGTCATCCAACTGTTTTAAGATGTTATGTGTCATGATGTCATTGAAGGGTCAAATCCGCCTTCATCAGTTGCCCCCCACTCTCAAGCTGAGATCAACTCGACGAAGGGAGTAGCTCGTTTCTTTGGCCCAGAGTGACTAATTTGATGAGCTCATAACTATTGGTCCAGTTTGCTCCCTTGGTTGGAAGAGTTAAAGTTCTGAATGCAGCCTTACGCAGGACCTCACCGTCTTGATCATCGGAGCACGTGAGCGAATTCATCCATTCGAGGAGAGGTGGAGCAGGTACCCYGAGGACATCTACCTTATTTGGGATGCAATCGTCAAGGAGTTCTGCAATTCAGCCAAGTACTTGAAGAGCAAAGCTCATCATGTCGTCCTTCAAGAGGCGGTTCTAATTGCATGAATGCCTTGTCAGGTTACTCCACCCGGGTAGGCTACAACATAATGTCCATCGAGCTGGTTCTCGAAAGAGTAGCCAGCGAGGTTGATGTGGAGCCCGAAACCGAGGTGGAGGTCAGCTGTTAAGAGATTGGCCAAGTTTGCATCTACCACGATGTTGAAAGTGAACTAATCATTCCTTCATTTCTTTTTCCGTCCCTTTTTATTTTCTCCTCTTTTTCTTTTCAAGTCGGTAGTGAGATGTCGACGTCCTTTGAGGTCGATTAAGTGTAGCAACTACAACCATGACACTGTCGAGCTAGATAGATAGGGGGCCGACCTACTGAGATTGGTCTTTCATGTGGTCGATGTGCTTCGAGGCCGGCTTGAGGGGTCATTCACTAAAAAGCGGTATAGCTTTCCCTTAAAACTCGATTTGATTAGGTCACCAAAGCGGATAATCGTTCTGTAGTAGCTTTAAATGTGGCTGCTTCTATGTCGTCATTTAAGATTAGCTTCCTCAAGTAGGTGCTTGTGAGATCATGGCATACATGTACCACCTGCTCCTGGAACCGCTAGCTGCCCACTCCTACTGGAGTCATGGGAGGCTCACCTTAAGGTGTCGACTCTACTATCTGTGGGTCACCTACTCTCACGGGAACCACGAAGGGCTCAACCTATGAGGCCGGTTCCACATTAAGTTTGCTTCCAACTCTCAGGGGAGCTATGAAGAGCTCGATCCGTAGTGAGGCTTCGCAGTTCAGGCTAGAGGCAGATTGGGCCAGATCTCTGAGGCTCGCCCAGGCTGGWTGTTCATTTCTATTCTGCTTGTGAGATTTGTTGATACATACATTACTCTCGACGTCGGATGATAGGGTGACGTTGTGGTTGCACTACATTAGCCCTCAGAGACACCAGTCGTCTATTCCTACAAGAAGCCACAAGGAGCTCGACCTACGGGGGCAGCTCTACTAATTGTATGTCGCCAACTCGCATGGGAGCCTTGAAAGGCTTGACTCGCAAGGGTGTTCGCATAGTCTATAGGCTGCTAACTCCCGTAGGAGCCGTGAAGGGTTCAACCTGTAGGGGAGACCTCGCGAAGAAGGCTGACGAGGTTCGTCTGGGCTGAAATGAGGTCGGCAGAGCTGCTTAGTCTGTTGGCCATCAACTCCCACGGGAACCATGAATGGCTCAACCTGTGGGGGCGRCCTAACTCCAAGGTCGTTCTGCTACTAATTGTTCTATGGCAACATGAGTGCATTGAACTTCTCCTATGCCTACATCTGGAAATTTGTGCTTTAGCTCATAGTACTACCGCATTTCAATCCCGGCGGGAACTACTAATGGCTCTACCGCGGGGAGAGGGGCATTCACATGAGGTAGCAATGTGTTTGTTTGGGGTAATGGGAGTGTTGGGTTCAACACGGTTGCTACTCCAGAAAATGCTATGGGCACTGAACTTGCTTGATTGTCACAAGGGGGTTCTCAAGGTTCATTACAGATGTTCTTTCCCCCTAGTAATTGATTCTTCGTTCTTGATGTTGGTGTTGCATGAAAATATCATTGAGTTAATAAAAGTGGAAACTATAAGGTGAAAACTTAGCTTTTTGTAGCGGATCCCACATACGATGCCAATTTATGATGCACGATCTGGAAGCTCCTAGCTGGAGAGTAGCTTGGACTTTGATGCTTAGCTGCCRGTCGAACTACAAGCAAAAGGATTAGAGAACCAGGGGTGGCTAACCCGGTGAGGTCACTCCGATGTTTAAGTTAGTACTCTTGTGATGATTGCGAGCTAGAAATTAGAAAGTATGAGAGCTAGAATGCACTTAATCGCACGTACCATGTGTCACTGAGGTAGATGCCCTTATATAGGTGTTGTTTGGTGTGGGCGTCATGCATCGTGTCTGAGGTCTCCGAGAAGACGTGCCTAACCGGCCCGATGTCCTCGAAGGTAGTCGTTCACGTAGACCAATCTTTGTGCCTTGTTCGATTTCCTCCAGAACATTTGGTATGGGGCCAACTTCCGAGAAACTCGGGAGTGTCAAGATATGTATGCCGAATTGGTCGGTGAACACATCTCGCAGGTCACCACCTAGACCTCAATCAGGTCGGCAAGCCCTCAAGGGAGGTCGCTCCTCATTGAGGTCACTTCAACTGTACTAATGAGGTGCCATAGATTGGCCCCTGGACAAGGTGCTACAAGCCACTCAGAGTTGTGGACAAGGTCGTCAGCTAGGTTTTTGCCAGGTCGGCGGTGGTGGCAGGTCGCTAGGGTCGGACTCCATCTCTTTGGCTAAGGCAAGTCATCGCCTAGGTGGTGTCGAGGTGTCATCTAGCTATTTTGAGATGCCATGTGTTCCCTCATCATATATATATATATATGATGGGATTAGCCTATCCCCCTAGCTCCATAATTTCAATATCAATAATTTTTAGGGAAAATTCATGATTAGTACCTTATACTTTGGGCTTAGTGCTACTTTTGTCCCTGAACTTTAAAATGCGACAATTCAATACCTGAACTTCCAAAACATGCCATTTTAGTGCCTATCATTGATCAGTCCTTAAGTGGCATTTGAAAAGATAGAAATGCCCTTTGAGTGCCATCTAATTTTCTTTATCAACCATCCAAACGTTGATAAAAAATGAACGACTCCAAAACCTTGCCTCTTCTAATTCAAGATGTGACCCCAACTTTCTTTAATAGAAAAGGATTTGAGACTTCATTTTTTGTCAACGTTTGAATGGTTGATAAAAAAAATTTGATGACACTTAATGGGCATTTGTGTCTTTTCAAGTGCCACTTAATAGCTGATTAACGACAAGTACTAAAAATTGACATGTTTTAAAAGTTCAAGTACTGAATTGTTGCATTTTAAAGTTTGGAGAACCAAAGTGGCACTAGGCCCAAAGTACAAGATACTAATTAGAAAAAATCTCTAATTTTGTATTTAAAAATAGTTAAAAACCTACAAATAATACATGCATAGGTTGTACTTGATTTGTTCCAACATTGATGCGAAATCAAATCCCGCAACCAGCACTTTGGGGGAAAAAGGATCATGGGAAAATTATTAATTGTGCATAGCACCAATACTAAAAAATAAAATATTGAACTTGGTTTGATTTAGTCCAATTACAAATGTCACATTTCTCTGGTGCAACTTGAGCAAGTTGGGTTAAGTTGAAGATCAATCCAAACCGGCTTGAACTCTTAAACCTTAAGCTGAGGCTTACATTTATTTAATTATGACCAAGAAAGTTAATCTATAGATTAATTAAATTGTAACTAGAACCTAATTTTATATATTTAAAATTTTAAGTATTTAAGTAATAATTACAAAAATATATAACATTTAATCAATAATGTAACATAAATAAAATAGTACATTGAAAGATAATATTAAAAACTATTTCATTAAGTAATTAACAATAATTTATTATTTTTGTTAAAAATTATCAATATAATTAATTTAAATTACTAAATTACTAAATAATTTTATGATAAATTACTAAAATAAAGATTAATATTTTAAACAACATTACATTTCTTATTATTCGTTAAAATTAACAGCGAATTTCCCCGTACTTTAGCACGGGTCATTCACTAGTATCTAATCTTCTCCCAAATCCAACGGTATATATTCCACTGTCTTATCCCTTACTCCCTTCTATTCCCATCATTATAACATAGTCACAACCCCACTCTCCTCTTCTTGCCGCAGAAGGTCGGTTACCGGCGAAACAAGATCTCCAAACCTCAGACGAAAGAGGGGAGGAGGAGGAGAAGAAGAGTCATGGCGGACTTAGAAAATTTGCTTCTGGAAGCGGCAGGAAGAACCGGTGGACCAGGGAGGAACAGACACTCGCGCCCTCCACCATCGAGAAGGCGAAGGGATGATTCCTATTTCGACGACGGCAGCGATTCGAAGGACGATGACGATTCGGACGACGATGATCCGGGCTACTCAGGTAGAAAACCCTCTGGATCTCAAGTCCCTCTCAAGAAGAGACTGGACGCCCACGACAAGGACGATGACCGCGATAGCCGAGATGACGACCGCGATTACGACGATGACGATGATGACGAAGATCGCCGTGCCGGCAGCGGGGACGATTCTGATGTCGGGAGTGATCTCTACAAGGACGACAGGGACAGGGAAGAACTCGCTAATATGAGCGAGTTGCAACGAGAGTTCATCCTTTCTGAACGAGCCACGAAGAAAGATGATAAGAGGTTGCAGGAGGCCGTTAGAGCGAGGCAGGGTGGAAAGAAAACTGATATTATGAAAGAGACACCCCCTTCGGTCCGTGTTCGGTCATCGTCTAGGTATGCCGATAAGTTGGCTGCGAAAGATGATGCTTTGAATGAGCTGCGGAATAAGAGGAGGAACAAGCAGGACCCGGAGGGTCACCGTAAATTGAGGGATTCGGGAAGAGGGGGTTTGGGCGCGCGAGGTGGGTCTCCGGTTCGGCGGAGATCGATACTTACTGCGGCGAGTCCGAGTAGTTCGAGTCAGAGTGACTCTCAGAGTGGAAGTCACAGCAGAGATGATGGTTCAACAGGGGATGGGGATCTGGGTGACAGTGACGATGATAGGCATGGAGCCGGGAAGGAGGTGCCGACGTTTGAGGAAATTAAGAGTATTACGATTAGGAGGTCAAAGCTGGCTAAGTGGTTCATGGAACCCTTCTTTGAAGAGCTGATTGTGGGTTGTTTTGTGAGAGTTGGGATTGGAATGTCCAGGTCTGGGCAGAGTATATACAGACTTTGTATGGTGAAAAATGTCGATGCCACGGACCCTAATAAACAGTATAAGCTTGAGAACAGGACTACATACAAGTATTTGAATTGTATTTGGGGCAATGAGAGCTCGGCTGCGAGGTGGCAGATGGCTAGGGTATCTGACTCTGCACCACTCGTTGAAGAGTTCAATGATTGGTTGCGTGAAGTGGAGCGCCATGGGGGGCGGATGCCCACTAAACAGGATGTGTCGGAGAAGAGGGAGGCTATCCAGAAGACCAATACTTTTGTATACTCGGCTGCTACCGTGAAGCAGATGCTGCAAGAGAAGAAAACTGCCTCGTCGAGGCCTTTGAACATTGCAGCTGAGAAAGAGAGGTTGAGGAGGGAGATGGAGGTGGCAGAGAGCCGAAGAGATGAGGCAGAGGTGGAGAGGATACGAGCGAGGTTGCAGGAACTTGAGGCAATGTCTAGGCAGGCGAAGGAGAAGGACTCTAAGGCTGTAAGATTAGCAGAGATGAACAAAAGAAACAGGGCTGAGAATTTCAAGAATGCATCAGAATTGAAGCCGGTTAACACAAGTCTGAAAGCAGGGGAGGCGGGGTATGATCCATTTTCAAGGAGATGGACAAGGTCAAGGAATTACTATGTATCAAAGCCTGGTGAGGGTGCACCAACAGCAAATGGTGAAGCAGCTGTTGCTTCAGCAGTGTCAGTAGCCAGCAGTGGTACAGGAGCGAGAGCTGCTGCAGAGGCCGGCATTGCTGCAACAGCTGCTGCTTTGGAAGCAGCAGCTGGTGCTGGAAAGTTGGTGGACACAAGTGCCCCAGTTGATCAAGGGACTGAGTCAAATTCGCTGCATGACTTTGAGCTTCCAATATCATTGGCAGGACTGCAAAAGTTTGGAGGACCCCAGGGAGCCCATTTGGGATTCTTGGGTAGGAAGCAGAGGATAGAGGCAACAGTTGGATGTCGTGTCCCAGAAAATGATGGGAGGCGGCATTCTTTGACCCTGACAGTTAGTGACTACAAGCGACGGAGAGGTCTGCTCTGAAATGTGACACTGCAAACAACTTATGGTGGATTAGGTAACAATGGTGCTATGTTGTGTTGTTAGAATTTTAACAGTCAAACCTCTAGTATTGCTGGGGTCAGAGTTAGACCCATAACCTGTGCTCTTTTTCACTGCAAAGGACTTAGTATATGTAATTTCTGCTCTTTTGTTATAATGGTTACATCCATAAACTCAAGAATGTCTTATCCAACTTATTGAAGTCTCCTACGTGACTTCTGAGTTCTGTTTCAGTACTGTCATCAGTTATACTTATGTTTATTTTTGCCTAATTACCCCTTGCAATCTTGGCCAAATTCAATGATTCTAACTGTTTTATTTTAGTCGACTTTTTTTATTGAAATTTGCTAGACTTCTTTTGCAATTGAATGAAACATAGTTAGTTTCAACTATTTTATCCATTTGAAAATAAGGCACATCGATTGATCAAAAATTGCCTAAACCATGAGATAGCATTAGATTGAGAGTGGAGCTCTACATTGTGTTGCTCTGGGAAATTTCTATCTACAATCTAGGTTCTGGTAACATCAAAGACAAAGATTATGTTGATTCTCATTCTCAAAGATAAGATCATAGAGATTGCAAATCATAGATGTTCATATTTCCTGTTCTAAGATCCCATGGCATAATTGTTAGGACTATAGCAATTGTTCCCAGTGATTTAAAAGGCGCGCCTTGGCGCACAAGTGAGGCACATTTTAGGGTAGGTGCCTCGCCTAGGTCCTAGGCGTAGCACTTTCAAAATCACATGCCTGATGTGCCGGTGTGCGCCTGATGTGCCTTGCGCTTTCTGAAAATTTTATGCTTTTTTTGAACATAGCAGCTGGGCCGGGGGGGGGGGGAGCCCTTGGACCCCCAACCACACCCCTCGAGGCAAGCCCAAACAAGTTCATGTTAGGGTCTTAAATTCTTAATTTCCACACAAAAAATAATGATTTTATAATTTAAATTGCCTTTTAAGAAGATATTTTATTAAGATGAATGGATTTCTTCTTAAAAGGCAATTAAAATTATAAAATCATTATTTTTTTGTGTGGAAATTAAGAATTTAAGATCCTTAGATGATCTTGTTTGGGCTTGCCTCAAGGGGCATGGCACAAAGGCGGCTCGTAGAATCAGGAATGTAATATGTTTTACATCACATTAGCTACTTAAAGTAACGCAATTGAGGAAAAAAAGAGATTGTGGGTTTTACATACTTGAAAATGTTTTATATGTTTGATTGTATTTTTAAATGTTCATTTGGATACGCTTTACATGTTATGTTTATGTATTTTAATTTTAGATAATAGGTTTTTTAAAACATTAATTTTAAAATTTAAGTTTATAATTTTTATTAATATTTTTTGGCATTTTTTTGAATTTTCTGACATTTTTTATGTTTTAGCTTTTTATTTTGTATTTTTGCGCCTTGCTTCAAAAAGGCGTGCGCCTCGCACCTCGGGCGCAAATTGGCCCTTGCGCCTTGCGCTTTTAAAACACTGATTGCTCCCTTGTTTTTCTAAAGTATATACAATTTCCTCCTCTGTTTGCTTTATTATGCCCTTTTATGGGTAAAAATTCTTAAGAGCTGATTTATGGGCTGGTATTCCTGTAGTCTGTTAGTATATGTTATTAGCAGGGCCAGTGATCGTTAAGCCAGTGGTGTGAACTAGATAAGCAGCCATTGGTTGGATATGTATGGGATGAGAGGAATGTCAGAGTCTAATATAAAGATCAGCGTTCAGATATGTTGCCAATCTTTCCATAATCAGAGTTGATCATTGGATCTGTACAAGAGAGAGGCCTTACTGTATGTTAGAAGTGTTAATTATTAGAGGTATTATTGTCTCATCACTATTTTATTAGTTATCAATTTACGGGTATGTTCATGTTTAAGTTACAGTCCCCAGACATAATTAGGGGTGGTGGTGTCTTTGTAGCCACCTGGGGAGAGTTCTCTCCCTTTTCCTCCATCATTTGAATTCTCTCTCTCTCTCTCTCCTGTTTGCAATCAAATACCATTTACATGGTATCAGAGCACTAGGAAGGACTATAGAAGGCTGCAATATCTTCTACAGATTTGTTTCTTCTTGTCTCTTCTGATTTTTTCTTCTTTTTTTTAAGGAACAAACAAGTCAGTAGGACTGATCTTTCTTATTCTTTTTCTTCTTTGTTTTGGTCACCATGGGGTGACATGTTGGTGGTATGAATGGTAATTTGAAGTCCTCTAATGGGAAGTCACCAAGAGGGATTATGTGTTGTGGTGCATGGCTGTGATGTGGTTTGGTGGTTTGTGTTTGGATGAAACCTCATAAATTTGGTGTGTTGTGATCTGTAGAAGAGATTAAAGCCCTCCAACATAGTGTGTTGATTGATAAGTTGCTGTCATAAGGTGGAAGCAGTGTAAATAGCAGGTTAACATTTTTTTTTTGTCATTGTTATTGTGATTGGTGATTGGAAAGGTATCATGGATGCATGGTGTTGGTGAAACTAAACCCAACTAGCTTGGTTCAATTTGAAGTTTTTGGATTATAGATGACATCTATTAAGTTGAATGGTGATAATTATATACCTTAGGTCAAATCAGTAGAAGTCTTCCTCAAGGAAAAATGAAGGTTAAAATACTTGAAGAATGCAAACTTTGATGCAAGTTATTGACGGAGGTCCAAGTCCAGCCCAGGTTCCAAGTAAAGTCAAGTGGCAGCCACTGGCAGAGGGGTGACTTAAAATTAACTTCGATGGTGACTTTAAAGTTCCAAGGTTTCATCCTTTGGAGCTATTGCTCTTGATTATAATGGTCATTTTGTTGCAACAAACTCTGGTAAGAGTGGTGTGGTCTCTGCTTTCCTTGCCAAGGTTGTGGCGCTTAAGGAGGCTCTTTATTTTGTTTGCTGCATTGGGTGGAATAAGTTGATTTTTGAAGGAGTCTGCAAGATGCTTCTTGATGGGCTTGCTAATCATCGTTGGGAATGGCCTTTAGGTAGCTTTTTTGATATTTTGGATGTTGAGTTTCTAGTCAGTAACATGTCTATTGACCTTTTGTTTTCAAAAAGGGAGGTTAATAAGACACCTCTTGAGCTTGCTTCTCATGGTTTCTGCAAGTCTGGTGTCTTAAACTCACGTCCTATTTGACTGGAGTCCATTGTGTTGTCTGAAGTTAGTAGTTTTAGTAATAGTGTTGGTTGTTGTGGTAGTAATTACCGGACCTAGTTGTTTCTGTTTTTATTCTTGTTTTTGGTGTTGTTTGTTTGCTTGTCTCTTTTTGGTTGAATGGAATTTTCTTTCTACTACTCCCCTCCCAAGAAAAAAAAGAAAAAAAAAATGCAAAACCAATAGCTAGCAGTGGGTATGATGATTGGGAGCATGAAAATGCTCAATTCATGACGTAGTTGTGGAACATGGAGCCTTGGGTAAGTGTTAATTTCATGTTTCTAGATATAGCTAAAGAAGTTTGGGAACATGCTCAAAAATTATACTCGGGGAAAGACAACATCACTTGTATGTATTGGTTGTTCTAGGAATATTTCCAGTTGCAACAAGATGATACAAGCATAAAAGATGACTATGCTAGGGGTCTTGTTTCCTGATCTTTTTCAGATAACATCACTTGTATGTATGGTATTCGTGCTCTGGATTGAGGTGGAGTGTTAAGATCAGCTGACTTATTACTAGTTATTAGTGAGACTATTGTCTCGTCATTTTATTTTATATTAGTTATCAATTTACAGGTCTGTTGAAGTTTAAGTTACTGTCCCCACATCTATACTAATAAAAGAGAGAATGCCCCTTCTTTCTGGAATTTTCATTGGATGTTTTCTATCCCCTTGTCTAAGCATACAGTGGGCATAAAAAGGCCATATATGTCCTTTACTGTCACTTCAGAAACTGCCCACTTGTAACCGTTCAGAAACTGCCCATGAATTATAAAGAGTTTTGTCTTAGAGAYACTGCCATGTGCAAATGCATGCACACATTTACTAATTTAATTAGGGGCTGTAATGCCTTTGTAACTGTTCAACATAAGTATATAAACAATCTGGCCACCTGGGGAGAGTAACTTTTCGGATTTTCTCCTCTTTTCTCTATCATTTGTAATCTCTCTTTTTCTCTCTTTCACCTGTTTGCAGTTGAATACCATTTACACTGTAGCAGAGCAGTGATACCTGGATATGACACTAGCTGCCGCTTGGGCACTTACAAATCATGCTGCAAAAATCTCTCTATGTTTGAATTAACACTGTACATGCCTAGAGTTCTGGTGTTGTACATAATACAAATCTGATATGACACTAACTGCCGCTTGGGCACTTGCAAATCATGCTGCAAAAATCTGTGTATGTTTGAAATTTAATTGAATTTGGCAAGATAAAAGTTTTGATGGCTGACATATTAGTTTCAAAAACTAGATATAGGAGCATGAAAGTAGTCATGTTAAATAGGATACACTTACCTGTATCAGTGTCCGGATTTTGGGAAATAGAATTGTATCTGACTCAACTGAATCTAAGGTGAGTTGGTCATAGATAAAGAGCTGAGTATCAGAAAATTGGTCATAGAAGGAAACTCTAAGGTGGTGGTGGGCTGGATGAAGGAGGAAATGGATGGGCTTTGGAACCACTAATGAAAAGAAGAGGCTCAAATGGCTGATAAAGGACATTGACATAAAATTTACATGGGTTAAAAGAAGTGCCAATTCCTTTGCTGATGGTTTAGCTAAACAAGGGGTGAATAGGGATTCTTTATTTTGGGATCAATTGTAATTGTAATATGTAATCTTTGGGTAGTATTTCTTGATGGGAGATTTAAGAGAGCTTATCTCCTCTATGCTGTACTCTCACTCTAGTCTGATTAGTTACTTGTTATAGATCAAAAAAAAAAAGAAAAAGCTCAACTGAACCTAACCAGCTACATGAGTCCTGTTCTGCCATTCCACTCTGCTCAGAATGTCTAGGCCCTAGAGTTGTATCCCCATTTTCCCATAACCATATCTGCATGGTATCCATATCTAGGCATCATAGTGGCAGGGTATGGTGAGTCCATCAATTAGGAGGAAATGTGAAACATGACCATTCCCAACACCTTTACTCCTAACAAATTTGGGCTTAGACATAAATCAGTGCCAAACAATGGTGTTATTAATCTTCTTACATCTAATTCTATTTATAATCAAGCCTAAGATTTGGCCCAAATTCTAGCCTATACCCATGCCTATTACCAAGTCCAAGGCCATCGTCAAGCCCAAACTCATAACCAAGACAAACCTGTACATAGGTTCACTGCTTATGTTCAAATCAAGATCTGTGCCATTATCCATTCCATGTATCTAAACCCATGAGCATGAGTCCATGACCAACACCTAAAATCAAATCCTTTATTAGAAGGAAAAAATAGAATACAAGGTGACCAGAAGTCACCTAGGACATGACAGGAATTCCCAATCATATCTCCAACTCAAATCTTAATTAAACAAAAAGAAACAACTACTAATACAAACCATGGTTTTCAAAACCAGACCGGACCGGAAAAACCAGGATGACCGGTTCTGTTTTCCCCCAAAACCATTGATTTTGGTCAGCTAACCGCTGAACCGAGTGGTTAACGGTTCGAACGGTTTTGACCATTTTTTATTTTTTTGAAATTTATTTATTGTCAGAATGGGCCGAGCGTTCGGTTCGAATGGTCGGACTGTTCGACTCGGTAATCGGAGACCGGTTTGGTCACCGGGTTGGTTTTAAAAACCATGATACAAACCTCCTCCCGAAAAAAATAATAAATATATAAGACCCACAAACTTTCACCCAAACAATGATCAAAAGCCTCAGAACAATTCCACTACCAGCCAATAACTCAATCTTATAAAATACCAACTCACCCGAGAACAGAGAAACAAAGCCTCCACAATCAAATCCATGACCAGAAAACCATTAATCTTGAGAACATGAATATGGTTCCTTTGAATCAAATAAAGGTATGGAAAATAGTAAGCATTATTCACGAGATACTTTGAAGTCAAATGCATGGCCACTAATTAAGTGCCTCGAGAGTTATATTTATAGTTTTCCAGTTAGCAGTAGTTGAGCTTTTAATGCTAGTTTGTTCTACTAGCAACATATTTTTTTGATAATAAATAAAGAAGAAAATTCTCTAAAATTTTAAAAGAAAAATGTTGCAAAGATACAAATAGTAAGGTGATGAGAGATCACCCACCCAATACCCAACAGAAAAGAGAAAAACAAACAAAAACAAAACAACCATCTCAGACTCATAGGTGTGATGTCTCTAAAGGACTGGTCTGATTCCAATCTCATATTGGAGTTAGAAGGTGATAACATTCTAGTTGAAGGCTGTCTGATTCAGCCTATTATCCTTTTATTCCCTCTCTCTCTCTCCCCTGTATCCATGCAATTCTCATTTATTTATTTGTTTTTTTGTTTATTTTGGAGAAAAGGCAATGCATAATTTATAGCTGTTGTATAAAAGGGAAAAACGTTCCTATACAGGGATTGACTGTAAATAATCTTTCTCCATATCCCATCATTCTTATCTACAATCCAGAACCTTTGATGCTCTACATTATAATGTATCAATCGAATGTACTTGCCCAACTGGGCGAGCCATGAAGCTTACGAGTAATGGCATTTGCTACTCTATTGGTAACTTAAGCCTTTTAGGTGGAGTTTGGGAGTGCTTATTTGAAAAATAAGTGAATAATCAATAAGCTCATGAGTGTTTGGTGATAAAGCATTTATTTCAAACAGCGGTAGTATTCAAAATGATGTGGTGAAGACAGGCCAGAAAGGAAATAAGAACTTGTTGAATAAACACTTAAGAATAAGCCCAAATTTTAGCTTCTCAAATAAGCACTTATTTTCAGGAATAAGCACTTATTAGGGATTATTTTCCAAATACAAATAAGTGCTTATTGGTGTGTTATCGGCCTAAAATAAGGGCTTATTCTACTAGTCATTTATTTTTAAGTACTCCCAAACTTAGCCGTAGTGTAATAAAGCTTTGAGATCCCAGCATGCTGAGACTACATTTGAATTATGGTCCAGGTCGTGGGAGATTGCAACTGTGAATCATGTTGGGGCTTAGGTATACTCTTCTTGCTTGGCTTTGACTAGCTGGAAGTAGAGAGCTGCTCTAAAATGGGATCGATCGAATGACTGATGACTCTCATGTCCCTTGGATGTTTATACACTATCAGAGATGCTAGATACTTGGCATCTAGAGTGAACAGCTCTGTCAAATCAGCAAAGGTTGCCCAGCTCATTGGCTATTTTGTTGATAGCCTTGCAAGTGAAGGTTCAGGAGGAGAGATTTGTATAGGGATCATTCTACTGAGAGTTGGTTTTGTATTGTCCTTTTAATTTGTTTTTGCATCACTTATGAGATATATGTTCTATTATATTTGTATTTCAAATTTCTTCTATCGATTAAAAATTAAGGTAAATTACAAAGGCCCCCGTGTACTTTGTTTTGTGACAAGGACCCCCTTTTGTTAGCCTTCTGTCTAAAATCTGCCGTTGTAATATTTTTTAGTTCTCATACTACCCTTGTAATAATTATTCGGACAATTTTAACCCTCTTGAGTTATATGTTTTCTCACCTTATTTTTCCCTTGCAATCAAGGGATTTCTCCTTTGTGACCAAACTCCGAGTTATAGCAAGGAACATCTCCCTCATGAGTTTTAGCCACAAGGGATTTCTTCCTCATGAGTTTCAGTCGCAAGGTCCGAGTTACAATAGCAAGGGTCATCTCCCTCACGAGTTTCAGCCACATGAGATTTCTCCCTCGTGAGTTTCAGCCGTAAAGGCGAAATACCTTGTCCTACTTCGGTGAGTGATCAATATTAGGGGTTATCACTATTAGTATCTGTTTTCACTTCATCTGTAGTTCTATTAGGGTTATCACACCTTTGAGCCTAGGCATGCCTTTCAAAAGCATGACTGAGGATTCAGCACTTGGAAAATCCAAACAGTCAAACAACTTGATGAACAGTTAAGATCAGTGACATTGTAGATACCAATTTCATGCCCTTCAACTGCATATATTTATCAAACCAATTGAGTTATAACCAAGACCTTTCACCAATAACTGTATCTCAAAGAATGATAACAAGTCAGCATCAACATTATGTTTATCAAAGACATCACCACAAGTGTATATCGTTGGTGGTAGGTTCAGAAAATAACCACCATGGTGTATGCTCATGTTGTATATACTACTTGACATCTTTGCGAAAAACATGTACAAGCATTAATGCTAAAATCATAAACAATATAATGTTGATTTACACTCCAATGAGATAAGAAATAATTTGGCAAATATAAGCAAAGTTCTCTATCATTCATCAAACAATCTAATTTTGGGCTTTGTAAACACATCCCCCCCCCCCCTCTCTCTATGTTTTAATTTCCCCCTTCTTTAGTTCAGCCCAAGAAGGATTGCAACACATCAAGGGATGAAATACTCAAGTTATATATAATTTTTCCAAATTTATCATGAGAAGAAAAAATCAATGTAATAATCATTACAATTGTAAGAATAAGCCAAAAGTCATTATAATTGTGGCAAAGATTTAAACTAATTATTAATGACCATAACTTCTCCCCTCAACAAGCCCTGAACAAGTAGGGCTTGGTGTGCCCCATTTTCCCCCACAAAGAACTTCATATGCAACAACATTTTGAATTTTTTATTCTATAAATGTTGTGAATATGTCTCATTGTAGGGGGTTTTACAAGCTATTTTTCTAAACCACACCAAGAAGATTTTGTGTAGGTTAAGGGAAGCAACCCCACTCAAGGGTCATCCTTCTAACATTTGAAATTTAGAAGTTTTCCTCCACTCTTGGCCCCATTTTTCCACACTTAAATGTTGTGAATATGTCCCGTTGTAGGGGGTCTGCAAGATATTTTTCTAAACCCCACCAAGAAGATTTTGTGTAGGTTAAAGGGAAGCAAAATAGTAATACAAAGTCAAATACATTATTTCTAAACCCCACACTTAACTGTTCATAATTATACTCACATAAAACAATGTTAATGATAACCAAATACAGACAATAAACAACTGTTACAAAGAGAAAATTAGACAAAAATAAACTATTACATAATTGTTACAAACAATAAACAATAGGCACGAACAACTATAGCATAGGAAAATCGAAGAATCCATAACTATTATAGAGAAAAAATCAAATCAAACAATAAATAACTATTACATAATTGTTATAGACAATAAACAATAAGCACAAACAACTATTTACAGACAATAAACACCCACTTCAAACAAAATCGAATCAGACAAAATCGAAGAATCCAAGTAAATAATAGGCATGAACAACTATAGTAGAGGAAAATCGAATAATTCTATGTTCAGTTCAAAATGAAACCCTAAATGCAATAGGTTACCTTCACTTGACTAGAGACATGGAAAAAATAAGCTTTCTCCCCCTACGATAGCAAAAAGAGGCATTCTTCTCCGACAACAACAAAAATAGATCTTCTTCTTCGGCGACGACGACAAGATCTTCTTTTCTTGCGACAATGACACTCACTTTCCTCTACATTCGGTGTGGCACTGGTGCGATCTCTAACAGAGAATGAATACTGGGATGGATTACATGAGAAATTTTGGCTGGGTTTCAGGTAGGGTTTTACACGAGGGTTTTTGGTGGGTGTCTATTTTCTCCATTTTGAAAATGTTAACTCGACTTGTGGAGGGTATTTTCATCAAATGACACCTCCTGCTAGCCGAGTTAATGGGGAAGGGGATCTTTGTCTCACGGTTATAGTACAAAATTATGTACTAACAATTTAAATTATGTTTTCCTGGATTATCAATTTAAATTCCTTTCAAATATTTAATAATATGTAATAGCTTTAAATAAATAAAATTTAAATAACAAAAAAGTAAATATTTTATAAATTATTTGAATATTTAAATAACTAAATATTTATCATAACTATATTTTAAATAGTTGAAATAACGAAATTATCTAATAAATAATTTTATATTTTTACAAAATATATCATGAAATTATGTACTAACAATTTAAATTATGTTTTTTTGGATCATCAATTTAAATGTTTTTCAAACATTTAATACTATGTAATGATAGTTATAAATAAATAAAACTCAAATAACAAAAAATTTAAAATATTTTATAGACTATTTAAATATTTAAATAACTAGATATTTATCATAACTAGATTTTAAATAGTTAAAATAACGAAATTACGTAATAATTTAAAAAAAATCTTTAAAGCATAAAATTAATTATAACATAATATTTAAATTAATAATAATTTCATATATTACAAAATTAATAATGAAATTATGTAATAATAGTATAAATTATGATTTCATGGATAATCAAATTCCATAAATAAATAATATTCTAAAATTTAAATATTTTACATATTATTTAAGTATTTAAATTAATTGGTATTTTAAATAACAAAATATTTAACATAACTAGATTTGAAATAGTTAAAAAAAGAAATTATGTAATAAATTTAAAATAATCTAAAAAGTAGAAAAATAATTATAACATAATATTGAAATTAATAATAATTTAATATTTTTGCATAATATTGTAAATAACTAATTTCAATTATATTAAGTAATAGTTCAAGAAAATAACTTTGAAAAAAATTAATAATTATTAATAACAATTTTCAACCCTTAATCTGTATTTATTATATAATTATATATACTAAAATTAATATTTATTGTATTTCAGTAATTATTTATTATTTTTGTCATAAATGTATTTTCAATGATTATGTATAAATTTATTTTGTTTCACTATTTAATAGAAAACTTTCAATAATTATTGGAGATTAAACAACTATTAGTGAAATTTTTAAATTTAATTTATTGTACTTATTGTTTTTATTGTATTTATTGTAATTTTGTTATAATTTATTGATTAATATTTATTAGAGATTATACTATTTATTGACAAAGTTAATATACTCTTAGTACTTATTGTATTTTTGTAATTATTGTATTTTTTTTCATTATCAATATATTTTCAATAATTGTATATTTTTGTTATAAATTTTCAATAATTATTGGAGATTAAACTATTGTTATTTATTAAAGAYGAGACTATTAATTTAGCTGAAATTATGAGTGTTCATGAGTTGGTTCGGTTCAGTTGGAGACTATTTGGCCAACTAAATTGACCTGTTAGCACACATGTTTGGTGTTCCTCTTAAACAAGAAAAAAGGGAAAAACCAATACCTTATCATAGGTTTTATATTATTTTCTTTTCTACTTCTACATGTGCTACATGACGCATATGATACATAGGTAATATGCATTGACAAACTTAGTAGAATGACATAAAGAGTCGTATCTTTGTGGGAGATGCCTTATACAACGCTATATTTGCACAGATGTTTGGTGTCCCTCTTAAACAAGGAAAAGGGCAAAACCGGTACCTTAAACATAGGTTTTATATTATGTTGTATTCTATGTGTTCTCCATGACACATATGTGATGCCATATCTGTGTTTATGTTAAATGCTCCTATTATTAGACAAAGGGCAAAGCAGTCCCCTTAGTACGAACAGGGACCCGATGCATGGGATTTTTCAAGAGAAAGTGAAATAATAGAATTTGATGTTATAAATTTCTGTAATAAATAACTGCTAATTACTTTATTAATGAATAAATGTTATAATTTTTGTAAATATTAAAAAATATATGAAATTAGATTGTAGTCATAATTAATGAATTTATAGATTAATTTTTTAGTCATAATTAAATTAATTTAAGCCCGGTCTCAAACTCGGACTTGCACACTTTCTATTGATAAAGAGGCCCATATTAATTATGAAGGTACCTTATCTGCACGTCTCTCCTTTCAGCAAACCTATTTATCTTTTTTTCCATTATTTGAATTTTTAGTATATTTTATTAAAAAACTGAAAAAAACCTAATTAATTCATGATTGTCTCTTCAGAGGTTTTGACATTTTTCAATGCTCTTCGCCATTAACATGAGTACCCCATTCAGTCTATACCAATTCCCATCGGTATGTGTTCAATTTTTATTGTTTTCTTCTTTTAAAGTATTTAAGCAGTGCCTTTATGAGCGCCAAGAGATGCCAGATGGTTCGTAGGTTTTCACTTGCTGATGTTAAAGGCAACTCACTCTATCTGAGGAGCAGATCCGGTCTCATATGTGAGTACCAATGTTTTAAAAAGTAAAAACTGATCCGAATGGGAACCATTCTGGTCAATGGTTTTTAGGTCGATTGTTCAATCATTCAATTTGAATGGACGATCTGTTTCAAAAAAAAATAATTAAAATAAAAAATGGTCAAAAATTGTAACCATGAATGGGTCAACGGTTCAATCACCTAATCAAAATGGATGGTTGACCAATTCAACGATTTTCGGATAGGGACTTAGTTTAAGGTAAAATGGAACCAATTGCCT